TGGGAGAACTTGCACAATTGGTGGCTGACTAAATACTTTTTTGCCCCACTGTATCTATTTTCTGAAAGTGTTAATACATCTTGTCTAACTTTATTATTGTTAAGTTGTAACAATTGTTACAAACTCTGGTTGGGCTCACATATTGTCATAATGTATGGTTTATGAAGTCAGCTACAGTTAGCTGAGTACATGTATTACATTACACCAAAATCAAACAATTTTAAAGCTTAGCATGGTCTGACAATCTAATCTCTTTCTCTATATTATTTGTATTTTATTTTTCTTGGAATTCAACATTTTATCACTATATTCATTTGCATGCTAGGATAAGGGAAGTGTTGTACCTGAAATGTCATGTCATAATACATTTGTTAGTCTATAAAATGCCAGAAAACTCTTAATGGTTGGTATGAAGCTATAAGCAAATATTCGGTACAGTGGGCGGAAATCTTAACTTTGTAGTGCATTATTGATTTCGCTATTATATGATCTAGAATTCAGATGAAACACGCTGGTGTTCTGAAGTTAAATTAAAACAAAATAGAAATATTAATTTTTGTTTATTATTGATCTGCTGAAGTTTTTGCCTTAATTCTTCAGCTAGCTAAGTGCTATATAAAATAGTAAATTAATGTATTATTATAGTCTCCTAAAAGGCTGAAAGGACAAATGGCTGCAGTTGAAAAAGTAAATGAGAATTTAGAAGTTCTGGAAAGCATCCTTCTCAGACTCACAAAGGCAGGTAAGTTTTTAATATGTATATTTTAGTCCTAAATCCATTGTTACCATTAAGATAATCACGTATTTAAACATGTTAAGCACCTTAAACATTTCATCACATATCCTAAACATCTGAGGTATATTTATTTCTTTTTTAAATATGGAATTTAAAATCTGTCAACCTGCAAAGCAGATTTTTTTCCTACATATCCTTCGTACAACATTTTTAGTTAACAGTCATAACTGCTTTCTTCAAAGAAACTGTGTTTAGATAACAAAATAATGTAAATATCTTGATTCTACTTAAGTATTTCCTAAATGTTAGTATAATATCAGTAAACATACTCAGCTTCTGAAGTGATATATGTATTGTTCACATTATATTGTGCATTGCTTCAGACAGTTATCAATGAAGAAGTGATTTTTAAAACATAAACATCTATGCAAACATATAGCACAGTATCTGCAGCTTGTTGTATAATTACAATTTTTCTTCAGAACTCCAGTTTTTGGAAAAAAGTAATTTACTTCTTTCTAGCTAGGGCAGAAATATATTGTTATTCATAGAGCTATGCAGATCATTCAGTTAGACACTTTTGGATCTCTTCTGGATGCATTTCTTGAATCCTTAGAGCAATCTCAACCATTTGATGCAAGTGCTTCAAGGCTTGCCTATGGTCTTCTAGGCAATACTTCCAGTAGAGTAGCAGAATGGACTTGGTAGGATTTTGAATAGATGGACCAAACTGAGTGGCTGCAGCTGCTCTGTGGCTTCAAGGAGTAGATCAGGAGGGATTTATCAGTTCTTTAGCAGAGGGGTGTGTAATTTACTAGGTCTCTCATCTCCCAATACCTTTGCTTTACATAGTTCAATGAATATTTTGTTTTAAGGGTATGAAGGGGAATTAAGTTCCTGTTTAGCACTCATAAAAACTTTATGTAGTTTTTGAATAAGTCATCTCAGATATGTGTACCAAATTTCCCTTTTTTTCCCATATTTTCTTTTTAACTTGTTTAATTTTTTTTGAAGCATAAGGAATATCATTAAAAATGTTCACAAAATTGTCTGTTTAAAAAAAACCTTCAAACTTGTGTTGCATATGCTTTATAAAAAAGTGGATCCTTTAATAAAGATATATTTAAATTTCAGCTAGAAATAGTGGGATGATCCTTTCTTGTTGCTGATTTAGCTATCACACACACACACATACATATACATATACATATACATATACATATACATATACATATACATATACATATACAGTGGTACCTCTAGTTACGAACACCCC